GTTTTTATGAGCCTCTACCAACTGGTCGAGCTGGTCAACAATCATCATATAGTACAGTATTTGTATGCATCAAACTCAAATAAAACACAAACTCAAATACATTTTTTTCTTTTATGGAAGATGAGCAATATATACAACCAGATATATTCATAAAAAATAATAAATTATTATTGTAAAACAAAAAAGAAATGGAAAAAAGTAATGGAAAGTGTTTTTCATTATAAAAAGTTTGGCCTAACAACAAACAACTGGCCTAACAGCAAATGTCTATATCCTGTGTTGGCCTAACTTGCTCATCTGTGTGCAACTTTGGGCTGCATTTCATGCATGAAAGGTGCTATATAAATGATTATCGCTCTTTCACTCTGAGACTCATAAGGCAGTACTAGATTTAGTAATATTACCATGAATCTAGCCATTTATTTACCATATTTTATTGGAAAACATCTCTGAAACGCTGAAAAAGTCATATTGCTAGTTTACCATAAAAGGCCAATTCGACCAGTTGGTTGAGCATATTTTCAAGAAAGTAATTACACCCTTGTTACAAAAATGTTTTGTGCATCAAGTTATATAATTCTGTTCAGTAAGTGCTCTGACACTAAAATATGTCAAAAATGATATGGTTACCTTACAAAAGTTGACCAAAAAGAGTGATTTCTTCAGGAGTGATTTTTAGCATGCCAACTTTCTCAGTGGAAGATAGCTGAAGGGCTTTCTGTTCGAACCACAGTGACATCTAGAGGTTGTTTTGTGCATAACATGTCAACCAAAACGATAGAGCTGGCTGATGGAGTTACACTTTTTTATTTATTTTTCAACAAGATATCAAAACACAAAATGTGCTCTACCAAATGGTGGCGCTGGCTGTTAAAGGTTAAGACAGCATCATCATAAGAGGCCAACAAGAGTGGCAGGGTGTGTCACTTTGCTGAAGGATAGACCAGCTATGCAGGATATTCTCTGAAGATTTCCCAAGGGGTAAAAGCTGCTGCTGGAGTACTGACTGGAAGTAGTGCTGATATCATGTCTATCATATCCTCTTAAAATACTCTGTCCAACAATATAAGTCGAATGACACATTTTTATTTAAGATGCATTCTTGTACTAAGGGGGGGGATTTGAAAAAGAATACCTGAAAAAGTACTTGTTGGTGTAGTTAAATTAGTATACTGAGTCAAACAGTAGGCTATCACTCTCATTAAGAATTGATGGCAGAACATCATTTTATCTCTCATCAAAGATAGCAGAAAACATGCATTATTGTACTCAAGAGGGGAGTTTGACAGAGTACACAGTAAAAGTACTCTAAATAGTATTTATCAATCCTCAACCTCCAAGCTATTTTAATATAGATTTGAAGAAAAAAACCTCGATGCTGACTTGACCACGCAAACGGGAAATACGGCCGCATCAATTCAGCAGTGTGTCAGTAACATCAAACAGAGAGGTACTCATACTTTATTTATAAGATAGGGATTCATGACAGTGCAAGACAGACAGCCAGAGAGACAGATCGCGAGACAGACAGACAGACAGACAGACAGACCAACAGACCAACAGACGCGCAAACACATACGCACCCACACACGGACAGACTGTCTTCTGTATGTTTTGCATGTAGCCTTATATTCAATGTATATTCGTGCAAACACGCACTGCACTGTCTAGGCCAAGAGTATGAACCTTTATTTTTGAAGAGTACAGCGCAAGCATAGGGCAAACTAGCCAATCAGAAGCAAGGAGGCACTGGAGACCCACCCACCTATGGAAACGAAACATTGAGTGGTATACTTGTTTTAACAGTAAGAACAGAAAAACGAAAAAACGAGCTGAATTTCCGTTTTTTGGTTTTGGGGCAAAATTGAAAAACAAAAAAACGACCCGTTTCTGTTTTATTATTTGTTTCAATTAGAACTAAAAAACAAACGGTTAAAACGTACCTTGGTCACCCTCAACTGAAAAACGGACATAGCAAAAACTGACAATTTAAGAACATCATGACACATTTCAAGCTAAATAAAGCATAGGATGCACATAATGTTTGTGTGATATTATAACATGCTTTCCAATAATAGGCAAAATATGATTTTATGATTTTATGATTGGCCCGGACTGGCCATCGGGAGGACCGGGAGGGTGTGTGTATGTGTGGCGCGACTCGCGAGCGAGGCACACCTTACATGTTGTTGTTGTTGTTGTTGTTAGCATCAGGTGCTAGCTAGCTGTGCTAACGGATATAAGGAGCTGTTTCAATGAAAACAGAGGAGCGACATTTCGCCGACAACTGCGCCGAGCACTTGACTTTATGCAGGACACACACACACACACACACACACACACACACACACACACACACACACACACACACACACACACACACACACACACACATACACACACACACACACACACACACACACACACCACACACACACACACACACACACACACACACTGTTCAGAGGTTGTTGTGTTTAATATTCATGAGAATATTTGTCATTGTTCAAATGATAATAAACAAACATATAAAGCATATTTGTCCACTCATATGTTGATAAGAGTATTAAAAACTTGAAAAATATCCCTCTAAGGTACATTTAGAACAGATAAAAAATGTGCGATTAATTTGCGATTAACTATGGACAATCATGCGATTAATCGCGATTAAATATTTGAATCGACTGACAGCCCTAATTTTGACATTCCGCTCTTTTCTCCTCGCCCCCCCCCCCGAGCCTCATTATGGTGTAAAACAGTGTATTTGTTTACCGTGTGTGTGTGATGGTGGTACCTAAATGAAGCTGTATTGTAGAAAGTGTGTCGCAGTGTGTTGCTTCTCAGCAGAAACCTGATCCTCCTAGTTCTGCTCACACACTCTCAAAGCCACGGTGCTTACTGAATGGACATTCTCAAACTGCACCACTTGGAACTAACTAAACAATTATTTTTATATAATTGTATTCAATAACCGTAACAAAATTAAACAGTATGAAGTGATTTGTAAATAGGAATACAGATTGCACTTAATGTTTTCATAAATATATTTTTCTCCCAGTTTGTCACGGGACTTATTTTTACCCTCTCAAAGAACCGGAATCGAGAACCGAAAAGAACCGGAATCGAAAAGCAGAACCGGAATCGTTAAAATCCAAACGATACCCAACCCTATGAGTGATGCAGTAAAATCTTACCGCTCACTTACGTTAGCGGTGTCGTAAAACCGTGGGAAAACGTAAAATACGATGCAGAAGAAGAAGATTCCAGTGGCCCCAATTTTTCACTTGTAAAATGTATTCAGTAAATTGCCAAACTGACACTGACATAAATATCTCTTCTGTCTCACATGTATCAAGCGTAAAAGTATGTGCATGTTAAGATGTCACATGCAGTCGTGAAGGTTTCAGTCTGGACGCAGATTACTCCATATAATCTAATCATCTGCATCTAATCCAGTTTCTGCTTCGGTCATCTGGACAGTACACTTCTCTTTCATGTGAGATACAGAGGTACTTGTACTTTACTTGAGTATTTCTGCTACTGTGTACTTCTACTCCACTTCAATTCAGAGGTACATGGTGTACTTTTCCTCCACTACATGTATTTAATACCTTTAGTTACTTCACAGATGTGGATGAATGATGTGAAATATAATCAAGTGTTAAATCAGGCTTTAGTTCCACCTGGAGTAAATCCACAAGCTACCCTGCAGTATACAAAGTCATTCAAACTAGCTGCACCTTTACCAGCTTTGAGAACACTTTCATGATCAATCATTATAAAACATATCATATATATTATTCTGAAATGGACCAATCTGCACAACGACTACTTTTACTGTCGCTACTTTCACTATATTTTGATGAGAATACTTTTCTACTTTTACTTAAGGAACATTTTGAATGCAGGACTTTTACTGTAACTGAGTATTCCTACACTCTGGTACTTCTACTTTTACTCAAGTACAAGACCTGAGTACTTCTACTTTTACTCAAGTACACGATCTGAGTACTTCTACTTTTACTCAAGTACAAGATCTGAGTACTTCTACTTTTACTCAAGTACAAGATCTGAGTACTTTTACTCAAGTCCAAGATCTGAGTACTTTTACTCAAGTACAAGATCTGAGTAGTTGTACTTTTACTCAAGTACAACATCTGAGTACTTATACTTATACTCAAGTACAAGAGTACTTCTCCACCTCTGCTGTTTACTGAAAGACTTCTTTCTAAGAAACTTATGGTAAAAACAGAGAAGTTTGACTCAGAAGGACTTCAGTGAGGGACAGCTCCTGCAACCAGTTTGTAAACAGTATTACAAATGTACCAATTACCAAAATAAATTTAAAAAAAGAGTGTGTTTAACTTTTAAACACAAGAACTCAAATATAAGTCTATTTAAATAAAGCTCATTTTAAAAGGCAAAGTTCATACATGACCAAAACATAAAACAAGTATGTATTTCAAAGCAAAGGGAATAAAACAGGGTATAACTATCAATGTAATCAACAATAGATATACTATAAAACGAGAAGACAGATTCCATATAAAAGCTTGTTTTATGTCAAATAAATGAGCATTAAGATATACCTTCAATAAAAATGAATATATTGTGGATGATAGGAACTCACAGTGCTCTATAATGCATTATCACGTTCAGTTGCACTCAATAAAAAGCTTAATTTTTAACCCTTAAGTGCCTCTAAACATCTGACAGTGCTGAACTCCAACAGACTTTGGAGCCGCACTCATTTGAATAGAAAGGAAACAACGCACAGGTAATAATGAACAGTAATGAAGGGGAAACACTTCAAAAACACACCACACACTATCACAAATAAAACACACATTATATTAGATTAGTGGTTCAATTAGAGGTTAAAATAAACTCCCATTCTCCACCACTATCCAAACAGTAGGATTAAATATCAACCTTTAAATCGGATTACAGCTGCGGCACACAGTGAGTAAATAATACAGAATATAAATGAAAGAACATACCCAGGATGAGACATGTTATGTCGAGCAGCACGAAGGGGATTCCTCTCGCCTCGAACATTTTGGGTCCTTCTCAGGTCGACTATTTTCATTTCCTCGGTCCTCGGTATCACCGGAAGTTGATTTGTCTGCGCCATCTTGAGTAGCGTCCCATGGCTCTTATTTCTGCCGGAGGACCGAGGATCGAGGAGCGAGGAGCGATAATGGAGGAGCGATAACCGAGGAACCACCAGACCATCCTCCGGGGAAATCCTCAGATACTCGCCCCGCCCCCTTACTGTGTATCACTCACTGATTGGACGATGCAGCGCATGCACTGATCTGATGCTTCTTGACATGAGAGCAGAGTTTCCCAGCGGAGTGAAGAAAACACATGAAACTCACGGGACTCACTCCTCAGTTTATACCGTGTTTTGTTTCAATGAATGCATCATTCAGTTACAAATATGTGATATATCTGAACAACAAAGTGGTCAAAAATTATTTTATTAATTTATTGGAAACATTTTCATGATCGCTTTTTCGTTTTACATTTTCATTCATTGTCATTTCCATTCAGTCAGTCATTAAGTGCTATTTAAAATGTTAATTTGCTACATATCCACACAAACAAAGTGTGCAATGATGAATGTTAATCTAACTGGGTTTTGATAGATAACATATCTCTTTTTCTTCTCTGAATTATTTTATTTCTATTGTGCACTCTAATCAATATTAATCCAACTATTGTTCGTTTATACATTTTAAGAATGGCGTTTATCTTTTTTGAGAATGAATTCTTATTTTATTTAATGTATTTGGGTCTACAACAGATGATACAAATGTTTGTGTCAGTAAATGTGTACTAACAGAGGCGGGGGTGTTTGTGAAAATAACGGGGACAGAGCTGCTGTCAGACGAACAGCTGTGCGGCGTCATCACAAACGGACGTCGCTTCACGTGACGCTCCGGAGGAAAGGACGGCCCAATCCCAAACCACTCCCTCGACCCTACCCCTCCGTGGCGGAGTGAACTCCGTCTGTAGCCACACTCGCAGCTCAACGAGGCTCCCTCCTGTCAGATGGAGGGAGTAAACACAGCGGCAAGCTTTGGGACAAACTCCCCTCTCTCCGGCAGAAACAGGAAATGCCGTAACTGTATGTAACAACGGTTTCAAATCAGCATCTCTTAGACAAAAAATGTAAATTAAGAACTCAAATAAAACTCCAAACATCTTTCATTGTGTTACTTTTTTGTAAAGCTCTTTTAGTTTTAAACCTGATGTTTATAAGCTTCTTAGTTTTTGCAACAGTCTGTAAATATACACAACTTTATAATAAAATGCACACATTTACCTTTTTCTAGACTAAACACAGGTACTGTATGATCCTAAATTTAAAAAATATGAGGTTATCATGAGGTTGTTAACATCGCAATTTATCAGTGGATGTTTGCTGGAACTACTTGTAAACAGCGTGTTTCCTGACGGACACACACAGCGTGACTCCGGTCAGGTAGAGACCAGTCTCAAGTCAGCACCGATGCAGACTCGCTGTTTGAGGGCTTGATAGCCCACTCCCCCTCCACACCTCTCCACACTCGTTGGTTTGGAACAGCACTTAATGTGGCGGACCCTCCGCGCGAACGCGCAAACGGAGGGGTAGTGTGTAGGGGTAGGGTGTAGGGCGTGGTTTGGGATTGGGCCGAAGTCCCATTGCTCTTAAAACTCATTTCCCTGCTTCTCGTGGTTTCCTTGCGTCTCTCCATGCTTCCTGGTGGGAGGGACTAGTCGCAGGGAAACGACGCAAGTGAGGGACGCAAGGATTCCATTTAATCGACCTGGGCTGCGTTTCACTTCTCTTATTTTTCATTTCCTCGCTCCTCGGTCTCAGTCTCACCGGAAGTTGATTTGTCTGCGCCATCTTGAGTAGCGTCCCAATGGCCTTATTTTTGCCGGAGGACCGAGGATCGAGGAGCGAGGAGCGAGGAGCGATAATGGAGGAGCTATAATCGAGGAACCACCAGACCATCCTTCGATGAAATCCTCAGACACTCGCCCCGCCCCCTTACTGTGTATCGCTCACTGATTGGATGATGCAGCGCATGCACTGATCTGATGCTTCTTGACATGAGAGCAGTTTCCCAGTGGAGTGAAGAAAACACATGAAACTCACGGGACTCACTCCTCAGTTTATACCGTGTTTTGTTTCAATTAATGTATCATTTAGTTACACATATGTGATATATCTGAACAACAAAGTGGTCAAAAATAATTTTATTCATTTATTGGAAACATTTTCATGATCGCTTTTTCGTTTTACATTTTCATTTATTGTCATTTCCATTCAGTCAGTCATTAAGTGCTATTTAAAATGTTAATTTGCTACATATCCACACAAACAAAGTGTGCAATGATGAATGTTAATCTAACTGGGTTTTGATAGATAACATATCTCTTTTTCTTCTCTGAATTATTTTATTTCTATTGTGCACTCTAATCAATATTAATCCAACTGTGGCGGCTCAATCCCCAGTTGCGTTTGAGTCGCCGAGAGGCTAAACTTGGCTATAAACTGTGACGCGTTTTCGAAGAGAAAGTCCATAGTGAAGCAAGATAGTTTTTGGGATATTTAATAAACAAAATCATAACATGGACAAAACGGTCAACAGAAAAAATGACAGCACAAGCTCACCCTCTGTCATCCGCACTCGACATGAAACAGGTGACTTAAATACACAAACTACACCCATGTGACAATTACCGGAAGTGCTCAACAAACAAATAAAAGTGACGTAAACAAATAATAATACAAATAATGAACTTGGGTTAAGTAGCATTATGGCACCTACATTAACTTTTAAACACAAGAACTCAAATATAAGTCTATTTAAATAAAGCTCATTTTAAAAGGCAAAGTTCATACATGACCAAAACATAAAACAAGTATGTATTTCAAAGCAAAGGGAATAAAACAGGGTATAACTATCAATGTAATCAACAATAGATATACTATAAAACGAGAAGACAGATTCCATATAAAAGCTTGTTTTATGTCAAATAAATGAGCATTAAGATATACCTTCAATAAAAATGAATATATTGTGGATGGTAGGAACTCACAGTGCTCTATACTGCATTATCACGTTCAGTTGCACTCAATAAAAAGCTTAATTTTTAACCCTTAAGTGCCTCTAAACATCTGACAGTGCTGAACTCCAACAGACTTTGGAGCCGCACTCATTTGAATAGAAAGGAAACAACGCACAGGTAATAATGAACAGTAATGAAGGGGAAACACTTCAAAAACACACCACACACTATCACAAATAAAACACACATTATATTAGATTAGTGGTTCAATTAGAGGTTAAAATAAACTCCCATTCTCCACCACTATCCAAACAGTAGGATTAAATATCAACCCTTTAAATCGGATTACAGCAGCGGCACACAGTGAGTAAATAATACAGAATATAAATAAAAGAACATACCCAGGATGAGACATGTTATGTCGAGCAGCACGAAGGGGATTCCTCTCGCCTCGAACATTTTGGGTCCTTCTCAGGTCGACTATTTTCATTTCCTCGGTCCTCGGTCCTCGGTATCACCGGAAGTTGTCTGCGCCATCTTGAGTAGCGTCCCATGGCTCTTATTTCTGCCGGAGGACCGAGGAGCGAGGAGCGAGGAGCGATAATGGAGGAGCGATAACCGAGGAACCACCAGACCATCCTCCGGGGAAATCCTCAGATACTCTCCCCGCCCCCTTACTGTGTATCACTCACTGATTGGACGATGCAGCGCATGCACTGATCTGATGCTTCTTGACATGAGAGCAGAGTTTCCCAGCGGAGTGAAGAAAACACATGAAACTCACGGGACTCACTCCTCAGTTTATACCGTGTTTTGTTTCAATGAATGCATCATTCAGTTACAAATATGTGATATATCTGAACAACAAAGTGGACAAAAATTATTTTATTCATTTATTGGTAACATTTTCATGATCGCTTTTTCGTTTTACATTTTCATTCATTGTCATTTCCATTCAGTCAGTCATTAAGTGCTATTTAAAATGTTAATTTGCTACATATCCACACAAACAAAGTGTGCACTAATCAATATTAATCCAACTATTGTTCGTTTATACATTTTAAGAATGGCGTTTATCTTTTTTGAGAATGAGTTCTTATTTTATTTAATGTATTTGGGTCTACAACAGATGATACAAATGTTTGTGTCAGTAAATGTGTACTAACAGAGGCGGGGGTGTTTGTGAAAATAACGGGGACAGAGCTGCTGTCAGACGAACAGCTGTGCAGCGTCATCACAAACGGACGTCGCTTCACGTGACGCTCCGGAGGAAAGGACGTCCCATTGCTCTTAAAACTCATTTCCCTGCTTCTCGTGGTTTCCTTGCGTCTCTCCATGCTTCCCTGGTGGGAGGGACTAAACACAGGGAAACGACGCAAGTGAGGTTCGCAAGGAATCCATTTAACCGAAGTGAAACGCAGCCGGTGTCTGAGGGTGCACGCGGAACTAACCCGAAAAAATCCGGTGTCGATGGAGGCTGCGCGGCCCTGGTGGTGCGTTCAGGGGCCAGTGGGAAAATTGGGGAGTATCCTGGTTTGTGAACTAATCTTTATTTAATTTTAGAATTTTGACACTATCTTATTTTCATTTTTCTTTAAACATTATTAATTATTATTATTTATTTATATGTTCATTATTTACTTCTTTTTTTTAACAGTAAATAAGGAAATATTCTTTCCAAATTATTTAAATTCATATTTGTTTTTTGTGGAGTGTCAGATAAAATAAATCCAATTGAAGACAGAATTGTTCCCAGCTTAAAACTGCTTTAAAAATACAATATATTCATATTATTTTCCACTTAAGCGGAGTTCATTCACTATCAGTGAGGAGGCGTGTGGCGCAGTGGATAGAGTGTTGGTGTTCGGATCACAGGTTCAAACCCCACTGCAGTCAGCATGTCGTTGTGTCCCTGAGACAATTGCTCCTGTGGGGATTGCCCACAGTATTGAGTATGTAAGTCGCTTTGCATAAAAGCGTCTAACAAGTAACATGTAATGTAATGTAATGTAATGTAATCAGTCCCCATACCTACTTAATATTAATTTAGTTTAGGTATTGAATTCCCCTAATTACTAGTTAGTCTACATAATTCAATTGTTTTTAAGAATTCTTATTTATCTTTCACATTGTTTGATAGGTCAATGATTAGCGACGTTGATTTTGATTCGGATTTTTCCTTTTATGCAGGAAACGAGCATTTAAAAACTCAATATTACCCTATTTGTTAGAATCTTTTATACATTTTATTAAATAAACTTTACTGTAAAGATTTACCTCAGTAAATGTACAATAATTGCAGTATTTTAATATATTAATTAACAGGCGTGCACACCTCAGGAACAAACAGGAAGATATAGGAACATTATTATCACAACACTGACCCCATCTAGTGGTTTGAAGGTTAAACTACACTAAGAAAACGGATATAATTCTCTATTTTGTGAAAATCAACAACAATTAGCTCCAAACCTTCACTCATTTTGAAAGAACACGTATTTAGAACCCATAAGCTGTGTTCTAAGTTAATTAAATACACTAAAACAAACAAAAATACAACCGTCCTGCAAGAGATGGGTATATTAAAAAGGCCCTATTATGCTTTTTAGGATGTTCCCTTTCCTTTAGTGTGTTATTTAGGTTTTAGTGCATGTAAATGGTCTGCAGAGGCTAAAATCCCTGTGATCCCCTGCCTGAAACGCATCCATTGGCCTCCTTTGTTTAAATGGTAAATGGACATATGGCCCTCTATCAACGATATCTTCTGTCTTACATCGTCCTTAAAGCTGGATAAAACACACATTAATAATAACACACTTAATGCACAAATGTGTTTTTATTCAACTCGAAAATTACATTTCAAAGTCATTCAAATGAACAAAAGAGGCAGATATATTTTTAAAACATCTCCAGTTTCTGCGACTGCAAAACACGTTTAATTGACAAAAGATCAATTCTGACTTTTTAAGCCATCGTCAGCGTCGTTACCCTGCCAGTCAATAACCCTTTACCTTAATATATCCATTATGCATCCAGAAAATGTGACAAAAAGCAAAAAATCACTTTTTTTTTAATTAAACCTTTTAAAAATAAACCTATTTTACATATTTATTGGGCTTTAAAACATACGTGTGATATTTCAAAGGCTTATTGAGAGAAATGTTGATTTTACTGACAAATGCATGTTTTTAGACCCACACAGAATACTGCCTGCATCCAATAATACTCCTAATACATGGTGGCATTTACAAATAAGAACAAACATAAATAAAAAGGAATGAATAATTTATAAAAATATGTTTTACAAAGCCATTAAAGGCAAGTCCTTCATTGTTTTGAATGCAGACGTGTTGCTCATTTTCAGTCCACTAGGTGGCACTGTTTCCCTACAAGTAAAAAAATGCAGGTTTCTTTCACACAAGGCACATAGTTCAGAGTCAGACAGAAAACAGCATGTACATGTGTTGGAGCCACAGAGGAAATCAAACATTAAATTACAGAGGTTTTCAGACAGGAAATTAACAATGTCCGACTCCAGTTGCGTCGACGAATTCCTCAAGTCTTTTTTTTTATTCATCTGAATGTTTTTGTTGTCCTTTCAAGTGCTCCGAGTCTTTGAAAAGTAAAAAGAAAGTCTTCACATTTTACGATAAAGGAATCGTTTGACATTTTGGGAAAGATTTGCTTTCTTGTGGAGAGTTAGATGACCTAGATATGAAGCTAAAACGAGAATTAGTTAGCTTAGCTTAGCATAAAGACTGGAATCAGAGGGGAAACAACTAACTGTGTTTTCCACAAAGAAAACTAAATATATTTTTCTATTGCGGACTATTAACAGCAAAACATTCCCAAGCACAAAACCCCATATTTTTTACTTCGGATGTGAAATGTATGCAGCTTTTTCAGGCTAGCTATTTCCCTGTTTTTAGTCTTTATGCTAAGCTAAGCTAAATACTAGCTCGCTCTAGCTCTAGATTTAGCGTACAGACATCATACTAGTGTTAATCCTATCCCACTCTCAAAATGTGTGATATTTACACTTCGCTTTTACCTAGCACTGACCGCATGTTTCCCGCCTTTATGCTAAGCTAAGCTAATTACCTGCTAACTCTAGGTCTATATTTAGCATCCAGAAATTAGTATAGTGTCAATCTTTCTCTCGGAGATCTTCCAGCACACAACTACAGAAAAGAATACAAACATTTTGATTTGAAATTTGACTTCCAGTCTTTTTTGCTAAGCTATGCTAATAACCTGCTAGCAATAGGTCTAACAATAACTATAGGTACCCAGCAAACAACCACAGAAAAATAAGAAAGTGTTATTTCTACACTTCAATTTGTGTGTGTAGCTTTTTGCAAGCTAGCTGGTTCCCGTTGTCTTTATGCTAAGCTAACTCTAGCTCAATGTGTAGAGTTTGGACATTAGAGTGAATCTTATCTTACAGAGAGATGTAACATTATTTATGCTAAGCTAATGACCTGCTAACTATGGCTCTCTTTTTAGCATACAGACATAAGAGTGAACCTTATCTCATTCTCAGAAATTGTCCAACAACTATTTGCCATTTTTACCCTTTTTGTTTTCGGATTAGAGATGTGAAAGTCTTTATGCTAAGCTAATTGCATGCTAGCTGTAGCTCAATATGTAGCCTTCAGACACAAGAGAGTTATCTTATTAGCTAACTCTCAGCAAGAAGCTATATTTTCCAATATGTCAATTAACCATTCCTTTTAAAAACCTGATACCGTTCAGATCAGTTGAATTCATCTGCGTTATTTCAACGTTTTGCAGTCATTTCGGTGATCAATAATCCAGCCATTTTCTCCATCCTCATGTCTTTTTGGAATTTTTTCTGTTTACGGAGGTGCGCTTCGATCTCCTGCCTGAAGAAGAGCATCCCCAATTGGCCGTGCGACGCCTCGTTCATGGCTTTGGACTGCATGCACATGCGATATTGATCCGGCGGCAGTTCGTCGGCGCAGTGTTTCTCGTGCCACAAGTGGAAAAGCCCTCGGGACGGGGCTCGAACCACCAGAAGGTTACTGTGCAGGTACTTCCTGTACAGGTGCACGTCTTCACCCCCCCCAGCCTTTGATGTCGATGTCAAAACCGCCTGCAGGGGAAAGAGCAGAGGGGGAATAATGTAGAAGCTTTGTATGAGAATCAGAATTTATTTGTATTTAAAATCGGGGTTTTTGACAGTTGCTAAAATAAGATAATATCAAAGATTAATTAATTTAAAAAGAATCCATGAAATCATAAGAGTAAGAAGGTGCAATAAACTAATTTAAATAAATAAAGATATGAAGTTAAAATAAAAATGGAAAATAAAATAAAGGTATTTGTGTGAAAAGTACAGGCTAACGTAAAAGCCCAATAAAATATAATATACATTTAAATAGAATAAAATGTAATTATTCATTTATTAACATTTAACATATAACCCTAAAAGTTAAACTAAGAATACAAAAAAAAAGTTATAATAAAAGAAATTACTAATATTTATACAAACATTATATGTTACATCAAATTAAATTAAATATTTTATACAAACAAAAGAAATTCAGTTAAAAATGTGCACAGTTTATAGCATGTGAATTACAACAGTGGTGATGACATGATGCAAAATAAAGAAGAAACCTAACAGGAAGTAGTGTGTTTATGTTACACACACACACACACACACACACACACACACACACACACACACACACACACACACACACACACACACACACACACACACACACACACACACACACACACACACACACACACACACACACACACACACACACACACACACACACACACACACACACACACACACGAACTAGCACACTTTATGTGGAATTGAGGGGTTTTTCTCAGCGTTGGAAGAGCAGGTTTTTCTGAACAGTAAAAACTGATGACAGACATTTTCTCCTTCGAAGCGCAACGACTAATAAATACCAAGGAAGTTTGATCCCCGTTTCTAAGGAAGAGACAAGGATTTATTTTTGTTTAAGTAAAATACAACCCCTCATATGTGTGTATATATTTATATATATTTATTTTCACTTTTTGTTTCATTCGTTTGTCTCCATATTTCATTTCCCCCAATTTGTTTAAGCCTTTTTGTCATTTATCCACTGCTGACAGTCTTTGTGCACTTTTCTTATATCAGTCTTATGTTTTCTTATCTATTTTCACCTTATTATGATTATCATCTTACGTCACTATTATTTAAAGTGGGTTTAATCTTATATCCCATTAATTAAAACATTGTTTTTTATGTTCATTTTGTCTATTTTCCGTTTTTGTAAAGCAGTTTTTTTTGCAGGAAAAGCGCGAAACAAACAACATTTATTATAATTATCATGTGAAATGGAGATTTGAGGCGTTAATAAATGCATTTCTCTGTGATTCATGTCCCCATTTCCTCTTAAAGTCGCTGATTGGTTTCCTGATTAGAGTTTACAGCCTGCGATCACAATCAGCTGCTCTGCACGGTCTGTTGTTTTATGAAGAAAGAGGGGGGGGGGTTCTGGACAGATTCTGCAGAAACAGACGTCAGAAGACAAGTTCAAACCTGCATCTCTACACGTCTGAAATACTCTGCTGTTCCTCACACGTTGTTTTATTTTCATTATTCTGTCCGTCTCTCCGTCTTCATTTTTAACCCCGAGGCCAAACAGATTAAGCAGGAATTTGAGCTGAAAATGATGTGTTTATTTTTGTATGTGAATGCACTCAAAGCCTCAAAGATATGTTGCAACAGAATTTAAGGAATTTTCCATTTATTTATATATTTGTAATTGTTTAAAAAAAAAAAAAAATTAAATAAATAAAAATTAAATACTAAAATAATACATAAGAATTAGCCTTAAAAATGTAAAAAATAAATGTTTATATATTGATGTTGACATATTCAAACAAGTAGAATGTGAAATAAAATACAATAAATTTGAAAAATAATATTTAAAAACATAAATGTGCAATAAAAAGTTAAAATAAAATAAATACATGAAGATATTATTTGTATTTATTTAAATAGGTTAATTGGCACAGCTGTTTCTACATAGTTACTGTACCAAACTCCTGTAAGTATGCAGCCTTAATTGAAAGTAAAAATAAATTACATTCATATGCAGGTACATATTTACATAAATTAACACATGCTCGCATATAACGCTCTGCAAGAACGTGAAGTGTGTGTGTGTGTGTGTGTGTGTGTGTGTGTGTGTGTGTGTGTGTGTGTGTGTGTGTGTGTGTGTGTGTGTGTGTGTGTGTGTGTGTGTGTGTGTGTGTGTGTGTGTGTGTGTGTGTGTGTGTGTGTGTGTGTGTGTGTGTGTGTGTGTGTGTGACATAATCCCCTCTGAATTTCACTACACTCCTTCAATTGCTGTGACTTTGGAGGGAAACTAAATTGATTGAAATGTCTTCTGAGAGCCAATCTCCCTCAACAAACACTCAGATATAGAGCAGAGCTGTGAGATATGCTAATCCAAGCAGCGGCTGCTTCTCTTCTGCAGAGTCATTTCATCAAATCTCCTCCCAGGTGAGAGAAGTAAAGCAATATTGAACCATTTGTGTTGTCATCCATTAAGCTCTCTGCCACTATTAGCTCAGCAGAGGAAGTCTCAGAGTCTCACTGTTTATGAATTCCTGCACGCTAAGACGTTGCAAATATTTACCGATGTTGATGAAGTCGGATCTGAACTGGCAAGTCATCCCGAATCCAAAATCCCTCCAGAAGCCGGTGTCTTTCTTTATCGCCTGCACAGAAGAGAAGGGTTAGAAAGCAGAACAGAAATACGACTGTGTGTGTGTGTGTGTGTGTGTGTGTGTGTGTGTGTGTGTGTGTGTGTGTGTGTGTGTGTGTGTGTGTGTGTGTGTGTGTGTGTGTGTGTGTGTGTGTGTGTGTGTGTGTGTGTGTGTGTGTGTGTGTGTGTGTGTGTGTGTGTGTGTGTGTGTGTGTGTCCTAGCATTACAATCCTTGTGGGGACCTAAATCTGTTTACACAGTCACGTGTGGGGACTCGCCTCCCTTATGGGGACATAATGGAGGTCCCCATGAGGGGAATCATTAATTTTAGGGTGAAGACTTGGTTAGGGTTAAGGTTAGGATAAGTCTCCAGGAAATGCATGTAAGTCAATGTAAAGTCCCCTGAAGTGATGTCTACATGGTGTGTGTGTGTGTGTGTGTGCGTGTGTGTGTGTGTGTGCATGCGTGCATGTGTTTGCACTCTAACTGCATCTCTGTGTAATTTAAGTGTTTGACCTTCAGATTGAGGAGATTTTGTCCGACTTTCCACTTTTCTTGCAGGTTTTTCGGTTAGTTTTTTTATGGTTTAAATTCTTATTGAGATTATTTTAGGATTCACATGCGTGTGTGTAATACTCCTGAGACAATCGGGCAACAACTAAAGAGGACTAGTTGCTCGATAAAAGACAACTGTGATCATTGACTCTGTGATCAGGGGATATTTATGTGTCTTTTTGCGTGCGTGCGTGCGTGCGTGCGTGCGTGCGTGCGTGCGTGTGTTACCAGCTGCTGCTCCACAGGAGGGATGTGTTCAGGGCCTCCGTAGATCAGAGTTGGGTTGTACTGGCTGAATAACACCGGGTAGAAAACCTTTTTACCTAAAAGAGAGGAGATGATTAGAACAAGTACCCGTAGAAAATGAACAGAAAATTAATCACACAACTATTTAGATAATCCTAAAGTTATGTTTCCATAGCATAATGTGTCGTTACAGGGTCTCAAATATTAAGTTTAGCTGTTTTATATCTCATAAAGTGAACAAAACTACACAACTATATTTGCTGACATTTGAAAACAAGGATTAATTGCTTAATCCATCAAAAATCAACAGATTAATTGAACAGGAAAATACTTGTTAGTAGCAGCTTTAGATCAAGACAGTGGTGTTGATATACAGTGATTTAACAAATATTAGGTTTCACTTTACCATCTCTAAATACTCTCCAAATGATGATGTCAATATTTAGTTCAGTGCATCTCTTTGTTTATTGCACAGTACGACATTCAAAGTCATTGTAGATATCTGCAAACTACAGTTTTGTATCCAACTAGTGAAATAAATGGAGATTGAATGTGTGTTGTTACTAGGCAGAAATCATTTTTAGATATCTACCTATATAGATTATATCTTAGAGGTATGGACATCCTAAAGAAAAGAGATTTGCTGCAGCAGTTTCATCATGAAAAGCTTTATTTAACGATATATATTAACTGCATATTGACTAGTCAGAACTATAATCCAACACATGCACTGCAATGTAAAGATATCTGAAACGTTAATGATGTGACCAGAGGTGGGAAGTAGTGGAGTACAAATACTTTGTTACTGTACTTAAGTACATGTTTCTGGTATCAGTACTTTACTCCACTACTTATTTTTCTGACCACTTTTTACTTTGACTTCTTACATGTTGAACACAAATACCTGTACTTTCTACTTCTTACATTTTGAACACAAATACCTGTACTTTCTACTTCTTACATGTTGAACCCAAATACCTGTACTTTCTACTTCTTACATGTTGAACCCAAATACCTGTACTTTCTACTTCTTACATGTTGAACACAAATACCTGTACTTTCTACTTCTTACATGTTGAACACAAATACCTGTACTTTCTACTTCTCACATGTTGAACACAAATACCTGTACTTTCTACTTCTTACATGTTGAACACAAATACCTGTACTTTCTACTTCTCACATGTTGAACACAAATACCTGTACTTTCTACTTCTCACATGTTGAACCCAAATACCTGTACTTTCTACTTCTTACATGTTGAACCCAAATACCTGTACTTTCTACTTCTCTCATTTTCCAAACAGGCTGGTTCTTTTAGTTTGAATGTGTGTTTGGTGGCGTGATCATTATTATTTAGAGTCATTGCGTGCCTATTGATTTGAACACGATCCGTGTATCCATCATTTCCTGGTCTTCTCTAAAGAAGAGGGACCAATGAAAACGTTGTCATGTTGCCGTTGTTCAGCATGGAAACATTCATTAGCTAACAATGACATTATTGTTCTATTAATATAAAGGGAGGTCAGGTACTCTTTAAAACAGCTGCTAGTTATGGGTACTTTTTACTGAAGTACATTTCAAAGCCCTCTTTACTTTGACTTGAGTAAAGAAGTTTAGTCAGTACTTCTACTTTCACCAGAGTATTTTTAAACACGAGTATCTGTACTTCTACTTGAGTAAAGGATGTGTGTACTGTTGCCCTCTCTGCCTGTGAGTCTTTTAAATGTCTAAAGTGTTATAGTTAGTCTCACCAGGCTGCGTGTTGAGTCTGCAGGAGTTCAGGAAGTCGGCGGTGAAGTAGATGTCGACGTCGCAGAAGAAGAGCAGAACGTTTCCTCCTTTCCAGGCTCGAGCCCCGACGTCTAGGCCCCGTCCGCGAGAAAACTCCTCGTCCAGCTGCAGGAGGGTGAAGTTCTTAAAGTTCGCCTCCCTGCACAGAGGAAGAGGGGAGGAGAGGAAGAGAGAGGGGTTACAAAAGAGTACATTCAAACACTCTCTTTGGTGAGGTAACGTGACTGGAGGATTTTCAAAGATATTGTCGATTTATTTTGAAATATTAAAGATTATTTCCCATGTTTTCCCCTCATTTTCAATATTTCCTAGTTCATGATAAGTGTTATTAAGGTACACATATTCACCATCAACTAGCTGTTAACTAACATGCATATTAGAGCCAGACTACTAGCTTATTAGTGAACATATTCTGAGTTACAAATACCTGATTTTAAGTTATTTTGACACAATTACCACTTGTAGTTTCATGTCTTGTTACATAAGAGTAGACCACATTTGTTAGGTGTTATTATGGGAGAATTAATATTCTTGTGGTACTTCTACTGCATATTGAGCATATTAAGACCAAAACTCATGTACAACAACTTCCTTACGTAGCTTAGCCGATCTCCATTCAGAAAACACGCATTTTAAAGGTCTTTCGCCTGCCGTCTGTCTGCAGACTTGTCAAAGCATTAATTCATGGTTTTTACTAACCGGTATCAGTATGTTGTTACTTCGGCATCATTTAGAAACGTGTATTACAATTAAATCACCGTCAAATGTGTTCATTGTGTTGTAGTTGTAGCCCCCTTGCCAGCGATTCTCTGACCAATCAGCAGTCGAGTGTTTACGTCACTAGTTTAGCAAATTCAGCCCGGTTGTTGGCCCGGTAAGAACCTCGATTTTGGAGGGCCAGAAAAAAGGTGAAAAAGTAGCCCTGAGCCGGAACGAGCCCAAGTGGAAAAGCAACAAAAAACGGGCCGGGTTTGGCACGGCACGCTTAAACCGTGCTGCAGTGGAAATGCGCCATTAAAATGACTGTAGAGTGACTCAAACTGACTATAATGTGATTTAAAAAGACTATAAAGCGACTTAAAATGACCACGAAGAGACTCAAACTGACTATAATGTGACTCAGAATTGCTATTAAGAGACTCAAAATGTCTAAGAGGACTCACAAAATGACCACAGAAAAACTAAACAACTATGAAAATGGGGAAAACGACCATTAAGAAAACACAAAAAGACTAATAAAGCTACGCTGCATGTAAAGAGAACTAAAAAGCGACACATTTCGGCTTCCTTGCTGGGATCATTCGGCCCTAGTAATCCTCTTTTGCATAGCCGTGGGAACATGTTTCAAATGGGGGGTGCTGTGGGGATGACACCAGGGCCGGTTCTGACCAGTTTGCTGCCCTAGGCAAGATTTTTGCTGTTTCATTTATATCTTATTTTACCAGTTAACATTTATTTATTTATTTATCCATATTTTTTAATCTCTCCAGTTTTAAAGGATATTGTTGGTTTACTGTCCTATAGTATACATTGGAATGATTTCAAACCTGTTTTTATTTATCCTAATAATTATAAAGGTGTGCCTTGGAAATATTTGTTTACATAAATTGTGATCAAACCGTTTGAGACCCACTGAGATAACTTAGACTAAAGTGAACTATCTAAACACTCAGAGTCCTTTACCTCACTGAGCCTCTCAGGGCACATGGACAATGTAACCGGGGTGAAAAGGGTGTTATCTTTACTTAATTATGAATGTGAACATCAAGGCTGAACATTAGTTTTTTTTGTATTATTTTTGTATTATATTTCCATGTAATCTTGTGGACGTGCAGATTCCCTGTCCTCCAGCAGGGGGCGCTGCAGCACCCTGAGCACCCCTACTTACCACGGCCCTGCTCTTTTGTATTTTCCACCTAAACATTAAAGCGTAATGAGCTCATAAAGTTCACATCAGCACAACATATGGCGCGTTCACACCGGAGTACTTTTCCCACAATAGTTCATCAGAACTACGATATATTTGCGTTCACACCAAAAAGCCCCAGGAACTAAATGAGTGCATCAGAACCATTTTGACCCGCTTTTCAGTCCCTGCTAGAGAGCCCTTTCCCCAGTAACAGCTCTATTCGAGGGTCAATTGTCGTCTTTTCAAACTAAAAATAACCCAATAATAGCAGAGAGAAAACACAACAACAAACCCTGTATTCTTCTTTAACAGGGTATTGTAATCTGAATATATCAACATCCTCATAAATCTCTCACATTGACCTTTAATGAGGATTACATTAAGGAATTAACATGTTTTTAAGAAGTTAAATCCAGGAAAATCTGCAAGGATTTCATTTCATCTGCAGAAAATCCAGACAGAGAGAATCTCTCCTCCTTCATGTTGTTCACAACTCACAGAACCATCAGTTTATATTCAGTTAAAATCAGAGGTGTAAAGTAACTAAGTGCATTTACAAAGTACTGTACTTAAGAATGCAGGACTTTTACTGTAACAGAGTATTCCTACACTCAGGTACTTTTACTCAAGTCCAAGATCTGACACACAGAAGAGAGAACGAGCTTCTGTGCATCAGAGGGTCAAAGTTGAGATACTTATCGAGGAGAATTGACTCAAATACACTTCATTTCTTTGCATTTAATTCTGTCACGAAGCAGTGTTTGGACCCACCTTAGTCATGGGTTTGTTTTCAATACAAACATTTCAATATTAACTGTCACAAAAAATAGGCACATCTTTATTAAATGTTGAACAAATATCTCCAATGTGCCCTTTTATGCATTTGAGCCCCTTCCCCTCTAACGTACTCTAATGTGTGCAGAGTAGTTACTGAGCATATAACAAACATCTCTCCATGGGGGGCAACAATCTGACTTTAATCATGTAGAAAGATATCTGTGTTTATCTCAGCTTACATAACAAGTACTTAAATAAAAGCACAGAGAGAAAATGAATAAGAATAATACATTATAATCATAATGGGCTGAAGTGTGGCCTCGTTACAAAGAGAAGCATCTGATAGGAGGGAAAGGATTCATCATTTCATCGACTTTGTGGACGTTACTTTAGAATAAGAGTTAGTCATTTGAAAAGCTCTGTTGTAAATAATAATATTATAATGATCACAAAACAGCAAGAAGGGTCTTCCAGGTTTGATTGGTTATTTGTAATCTTTATTATACAGACACTTGATAACTGATAGATATATATACCAAGGTGTGAGAACACATGATATAACACTGACACCATGACAGGTACAGGACTTATGAAATGCATCAAACATAAATCACATTCTTTCACATCGAATTCAAAGAAAATCACAATTATTTGATTTGAAATAAAACATCAGAATAAAAACACAGGATTAAAAATAAGGGGATTAAAATCATTGAATGTGAAAGCGATGTTTAAAAGGTTGATAAGTGAACATTTAACAATATCTATGAAAACAACACGGAGCAGAGCGGAGCAGGGATCCTAACATCACAAGTCTTTACAAGAAGAGCAAAACACACATATATTTACAATATACAAGAATATATTCATACAAAACTAAATATATGTTTATATTAATAACAATATCTTTATTTACTTTCAACATTTAAAACCCTCTTTTCTCTGTTGTTATTATGGGATATTTATATTTTGGGTGTTTATATAATTTTATTTACTTTCTGAAGTTTCACTTTTCTATCTTTAAAACTGTCAATCATTTATCAACCGAAATAATATTAATAATAATGAATGATGTTACATGTTGCCCGTCTCTGTAACCTCTCTCGAGCGTAGAGAGAGAGAGAGAGGAGAGAGAGAGAGGAGAGGAGAGAGGAGAGAGAGGGCAGGAGGAGAGAGAGAGAGAGAGAGTAAGCGGAGAGAGGGAGAGAGAGAGAAGAGGCGTGGGAGCGAGAGACGAGCGAGACAGAGGAGAGAGAGAGGCGAGGGGGCTGATCGATCTCTATATCTCTCTCTTGATCTATGTCATAATCGGCTTTCTCTCTCTCTATCTCTCTCTCTCTCTCTCTCTCTCTATATCTCGGTCGTCTCTCTCTTGTGATCAGACTCAGATGTTGTGTTTGCATGAATTTCTAACATCCAGTGTTTAAATCCTGTTTCTGAGCCGCTGTATGAAAGAGGACGAGGACAGAGGGAAGTGAAATGAACAGATGCATATTAAGTGTCCCGTGTTCTGGTCCTCAGGGTCACAGTGACTACAGCAACACAGAGCATCAGCAGCAGAACACTGAGCGCTGAGCATCTCACTGCGTAGAAGGTGGAGTGAACCCCAAAGGGGTCTCTGTACAGGAGGGTCTTGGTTGAAGACAGACACGGAACATTTCTGTCAATAACTACACACCAATACTCTCCTGTGTCTTGCAGAGAGACATCAGAAATAGCCAATCTCCCATCACGGTAGCTGCGCACATTGCTACTGATCTCATCATAAACTAAAGTAATGGTTCTTCCTTTGGTTCGGTTCGACTTAAAGAACCAACCGTGGCCCAGACCCTTTTCCCTATCTTTGCATCTGAGAGTGACTTCTTCTCCGTCTGAGAAGAGCTCTACAGCAGGGGGGGGGGATTTGGGGCACACCCACAGCTCATATGATTTCTCAGCATTTAAGGTTTTACAATAGTACTGACCTGAGTGATTTAACGTTACCGATGTTAACACCAGAGAGTAGTTCTGGTCCACTAAAGACCCAGAGAGGTTATGTTGTTCTTGGTCAATGTTGTAGAGTCTAATCTTCCAATCTGGAGGCTTCTCTTTATTGAAACCAGAGTCAGGGCACTGCAGCACAACCGTGTCTTCCACTGAGAGATAGATCCACTCTGTGTTCAGCTGATACTCTACAGGGTGACTGCCAACACACTGCTGTTGGTTCATCAGCAGGCAGGTGTATCCTCCGAGGTCAGCTGGTGAGATGTTGGATATACGTAGAGCTGATGTGTTCTTCACCACTTGGTATCTTCCTCTATCATTGTCCATCACTGATGCCGTATCGTCCCCAAAAACTCTGGTCCATGTTTTCTGTTCAGGTCGATAATCCCGTTTGAGCCACTGGACATCCGGGTGGTCAGCTGCTCCATCACAACGCAGGTCTTTTGTTTCTTCATCTTCCATGTATTCAT